GCACAGCAAATTTGGCTTTCAGTGCGTTATCTCTTTTGTTAATGCAAAAAGATTCCCTGGGCGAAAAAATTGCTCATAATTACCAGAGAGATGGGGAAACTGCATTAGAATAAATAAACCTGAAATTACTGTAATTATGTTGTGTTTGATGGGCCCGGCTTGTAATCAAGAAGAGAATACAGTGAAATGATGCTGACCCTCTTGGGTTTGCAGCTGTACGCGCACTTTGGGGTCTTTTTTTGCAGAAAAGAGTCATTTTGATAATCATTAAGCTGTGTGTAACCTATTTCAGAAGTGTTTTAAAATGAGGTTCACATTTTTTGAACAAGGGAAAAAATCCCAAAATTGCATTTTGCCATTACAGACTCATACATAAGGAAAGGTTGTGTTTTCTAAGTGACAATTGTTAAGACATAATATTCGAAATCAGTATTTAATCATTATAATGAGGTATTGTTTAAATATAACCACCTTTAGATTATTCATAGTTTAATTAATATACTCATTATGAAAATCTTTGAATCAGATATTTGATGAACTACTTGTCAGTAACAAGGCAGCATTAATTAGGCCTATATTGAGATTAACATTTTTTAAAAGTACAACCGCTTATAATTATAATAGAACCTAACTAAAGACCGCCTTCCTTGAGCTAAAACTAATAATTTCTCTATTTGAACTGTTAGCAAGAGATTATTAAATTAGTATAAGCTAATATCTCAAAGTATTAAAATTGGCTTGACCAAATAGATTTTGCCTGTGGCTTGAGCCCTTGAGTCCTAGCTGTTGTCTGGGGAACCCGAGTTAGAGGAGTGAGAGAAATCTCCCCTTAGCAAAGTCACATATCCCGAGGGAAACTGAATCCAGAAAGGCCTCTGCCCAACTCTTGGTCCCAGCCTGAGAAATGGTTGGCTCTCTGTTTTGAGGCCGGTGAGTCGGCCCCAACCTGGTCTCCGGGGTCTGATCTCTTCATTTGCACTCTTGATTCTGAGGGCTGCCAGGAGAGGAAAAGTCCCAATTTCCAACTCAGAACCAACGTAGAGGTCCCGGCTTCATCCTGCACTACCTCCCCTGCTTCATCCATTACGCTGCCCCCTCCCAAGCCCCGCCACGTCCTCCTCCCCTCCCCAAAGGGCGTCGGAAGAACCCGACGCATCTGATCTTTCACCATCACCAATTGAAAAATGGGTGCTTGTCACAACACAGATCACTGCTTTCCCAGCTCTGCTCCCCACCGCGCGCTGGAAAGGGCCCCCCAAAGGCGGGGGGCCAGCCCCTGCCGCAGCAGCGTCGCAAGGCGGATGCGAGGGAAGCGGGAAGCGCTCCTGGCTACCTGTTGGGACCCGCAACTTTCTGAAGCTGCCTCTGCCGAGTCTGGGGTCAGTGGTGAAGACTGGGGCTGGTCAGGAGCACGGGCCACCAAGCGGAGAAGGGAGTCAGTCTGGTTTTAGTCTGTGGGAACCCGCGTTCTCCTGGAATGAACTGAATCCCAGCTCTCTACGGAAGGTTTCTCTATAATGACCTGGCTTCCGGACTTCAGGGCTACAGAGGGGTCGAAATGCTTCACTTTGGTCAGCTCTGGGTTCCTAGAAGTCAGTTGAGCCCACCTACCCCTCTCTTGGCACTTCCACTTCTTGGATGGGTAGAGAAAAACCCATGATCATTAGGTAAAAAGTGCCTTTCTGCTTTGAAGGGGCGCGGGTGCTTCCCTGGGACTGTGCCTTGTTTCCTGGAGCTCACTGATGGGGGTGGTCTGACAAACTATCCTTCAAGTCCCGTCTGGCGGTCCCCCCCGCCCCCCATAGGATACACTGCCGGTAGGCAAAAGCGGAAAGCCAGATGGAGCAGAGTATAAGAGCAAAGGATGGTGTCCCTTGCTTTCAGGCTTCCCAGAGGTGGCTGGGCATGGAGGGAACTCCAGTGTCTCAGCCTTTGAACTCTGCTTTCCTTTCCCAGCCACATCTCACCTTTCTTTTGGTTTCTGAGGGAGGGGCTGCCCTGCCACACCTGTTCCCCAGCCCCCTTCCCAGACCTTTCCTTGGCACTCCATCCCCATCCCACCCACTCAGGTAGAGACCAGATACCTTGAAGGCTGAGCCAGCAAGTCAGGTTAAACAGGCCTATTGGAGCACCCCACAGGCCCTGGGATGATATTGATTTGTCTGGAGTTGGGTGCCCCTAATCCATCCCAGAAAAGTTAACTGTCCCCTATTATCTGTATACGAGAGGGGAGCTTGGGCCCATCCCCTCATCCCACACCCAGCACAGGAGACAGCAGTTCTTTCTTGAAACCATAATTTTACTGTCTCAAAGAAACTTTATAACTTATTTACAAAGTTCTTTTTTCCCCCAAGATACAAAGCAATAAGTTAACATTCTCAATATAAAACTAAACTTTGACATAGAGAACACAAAACACAGTTGATTTCAATTGGTCACATTTTCCAAATTTCACAAGTAGAATGTCAAGATTCTCATTTCACAAAGCATCAGGTTTTACAGCCACACACAACAGAAAAAAAAAAAAAAGCTAAGATTGTGCAACATGTTTACAGAACAATAATAATAATAATAACAATAATAATATGTACAACTATTAGATCCTGCACTGGAGACTATGCCTTCAGGGTGGTGACTGGCATTCTGTGGTCAAACCTCTGGGGATTGTTATAAAGCTGTTTTTGCTTTCTTTAAAGCCCTATCGGGATTAGGGCGCTTGCTCACTCTTGCCTATTTTTTCACTGCTGCACATAGGTCCTGTCTCTTTCAAATTAAAATTTTCTTTAAGTCCAGGCAAAGCGACTAAGCGCGTTGTTCTTCCCGAGTTGACAAAACCCTACTTGAAGTAGTAAAAAAAAATGCGAATAATTCAGCTTCAACCACTCCATACCAGCGAAATACAAAAGTTACTGTATAAATTAAAATTCACTGCGTCCTCCTTGTTCGTTTTTTCCGGGTGAATTTAAGGTAAACAGTGCGTTTGGACAGTGTGCGCTCACGCTCCACAGAACCTGGAATTGGCCAACACTCAGCCTCAGGTGAAGTCCATTTTTTCAATAAATAAAAACCCCTCCCTCCAATTTCCCCCAGTTCTCAAACAAGCTACACAGGTGGTCAGGTAGGGACTAGGAGAAGGCCTGAAAGGACAAAACGACCCAGGATCCGGAGATGGGCGGCCCAGGGGGCCGCGTGTGGCTCAGACCTGGCGACTTTGCAGTGGCGGCAGAATAACAGCAGACGACGAGAGGATCTTTACTCAGCGCACAAACAGAGCAAAAGGAGACAAGAGACGGACAGGACAGAAAAGAACTTTTGCTTTTTCTACATTGTTTTTGTTTTTCCTGATAGTCCCACAAAGCTGAGGGTCGGAGGGTGGGATCGAGCGGGTTTGTCTTGCTGCTCCGGCTGTCTCGGGTGACCATAGCTGCGCTTCCAGGCCACTCTGCAGTCACCGCGTGGCCCAGGACGGGATTCCGGCGAGAGTACTGGCGCTGGGGAGTCGCTGCGTCGGACCTCCAGGGACTCCAAGGAGGAGGCGGGCGTCATGTCTTCACTGCTTCTTCTTTCCCTCTGGCCCTCCTCCGGGCTCAGGGCACACAGACAGGGTGGATGGACCTGGAGGCGGGAGGGGCCCGGGCCAAGGGAGACGGGAAGGAGGCGGGAAGGTGCGAGTGGGCAACCTCACATGAGTTGGGGCTGCTGCATAGCTTCTTGGTGCGCGGAAGGATACCACGACGTGTAGCTGGGGATGTAGGAGCCCGCGCTACTGCCTGAGCTCTTCCCGGAGGAGGAATTAGGGTTCCAGCCGGGTGGTACTGGTGGGGAGCCTGCAGACAGAGCCCGGCCGTTGGCTAGCGCGCTACCCTCCAGAGCCGCCCCGCCCTGCTTCATCAGCTTCTTGAACTTGGAGCGCTTGTTCTGGAACCAGATCTTGACCTGCAAGATCGGACAACAACGTGACTCGTGATGGGATCACTGAGTCTACCTAGGTCTACCTAGGAGGAGAGAAGTGAACTACAGGAGAGCAGAGATAGGAGCCCCCGCTGCCCTGCGAAGGCTGGCAGCTCCCTGCTGCGGGAGCAGAGACGTCCCTCCCTCGGTGAAAGCCAAATACTATAAAGCTGGACGACCGGCGCTGGCCACCTCTTGAGCAGCTCTCTGAGAGCCAGGGGGGCGTGGTGGTAAGGGGCCCGCAGGGAATCAAGGCCCTGTCCGACCTTGGCAACTTTGGATAACGCAACACCTGCACAACACCTCGCAATTCTAATATCAATAAAGAAATTAAAAAAAAAAACCTAGATAGGAGTGGAGAAAATTTATTTGTAAATCGACCGCCTTCTCTTTGCGCCGTCCTTTTTGCCCTTGAGTGAGTTGGGGACTGAATGAGGAGGCCATAAAGTTTTGCTGAACTTTTCTTTGGATTGAAACCAACCTTTCCCAAGGGTCTGTTTGCTTTTCCCAACTCCAATCCAAATCCCGGGCCGGACGTTGGAAACCCGCGCCAGCCGCGGGCAGAACCGCCCAGAACTCCCCGGAGTCTTAGAGATATCCAAAAAGGAAAGTCTTGTTTCCTCTCTAGAGTTTGGGCCTTGGGAGGTGAAAGGGCAGGGGAAAGGATCCCCAGTGCCACAGGGTGAAGAGGGAGACCAAGGCGAAGGCCCACGCTGCAGTGATTAGCTATACACTTTAAAGGCAAAGGAGGGATTAAGTCCTGCGTCTATTGTTCCAGTTGTTCGGGCACGTGTGACCTCAGAATCCCCAAACAAAACGTCTGGGGCAACCTTTCCTGCTCCCTAATCAGATTGTCCAGGGTCGAAGGACCAGGCGGCAGGAAAGTCGGTGTACAGACAGCAGCGACCGAGCTCGGGCAGAGAGAATGAAGGTGGATGGGGACTGGGACCCTGGGTTAGGGAGGGAGGGAGGGAGGGACGGAGGGACGGACGGACGGACGGACGGACACACACACACTCACACACACTGACACCTCGAACCTGAAGCCCAGTGAGCTAAAAATGAAGCCCCGGGCTCAGGCCCGCAGCGTGAAGCCTGCTTGACGGAGTGGCAGCGGCGAGGTACCTGAGTCTGCGTGAGTCCCAAGGAGGCCGCGAGCTCCGCCCTCTCGGGCAGAGCTAAGTACTGAGTTTGCTGGAACCTCCGGTTCAAAGCCTGCAACTGCAAACTGGAATAAATTGTCCTGGGTTTGCGGATCTTTTTCCCCTTGCCATTGAAGCGCACTTCACCGCCTTCCACCACCGTGCTCTTCTCGGAGTCCGCCCCTGGAGGGACAGCAGAAGCGGGGACTGTTGTTAAGGCAGGGGCCGCTTTTAGTGTGGAGAGTGGAGAGCGAGTAGCTACCGAGGGGACAGCAGAGGCTGGGCCAGGGAAGAAAACGTTCAAGAAACTGAAGCCTGGGAAGTGTCCTCCAAATCCGAGGGCCGGTCCCAGGCAGCTGCAGGCGGGATGGGGCCGTTCCCAGGAGCGCAGCTATTGCCTTTGCAGGGGAAGTTTGCTATTTTTGCAGGCGGTAGTTGAGGTTTAATTACCCTTAATTGCATACATTGTTTATAGCGCTACGCAATAAATAATTAGAGACTAATACGTGCACATGTGGGTTTCTGTTTTCCAGCAGGGCATTGTGTGCTCGGCGCACCGAGCCGCTCAGAGGCCCAGCCAGTGCCCGGAGACGCTCTCGGATTTATCCTTTGCTACAAGGTTGCGAATTGGGCGGATTAAAAAAAAAAATTCTTTGCTATGACAAGGATCCACAGATTGATATCCGAAACCTCTACTGCTCCCGCGCCCTCCCCACCCCCACCCCACCTCTCTCTGCCCCTCTCTCTCCTCTCATTTTCTCTCTCTCTCTCTCTCTCTCTCTCTCTCTCTCTCTCTCTCTCTCTCTCTCTCTTCCCCCTCCCTTTCTCTCCCTCTCTCCTTTCCTTCTCTCCCAGGCTAGCGCACGTACCTGGGTCCTCCAGGCGGCTCTGGGCGAGGCTGGCGCTGCCCGGGTAGGACTGCACCGAACTGATGTAGGGACTGGACGCGTGGCTGCTGACCGAGTTGACGTAGGGGTAGCCCAGCGGTCGGGAGAAGGACGAGGCCGAGCTGTAGGCACCGTCGGGCTGCGAATGGCCCGCCGAATGTAAACAGTGCATGGAGTAGTGCCCGTGGGACATGGGAGAAGGAGACATTTGCTGGTTGGGCGGCCCAAACTCCATAAACACCGCCTTGCCCGACACGGGGCTGTTGAGACTTTCTGGCATGGTGGTCATGGTCATCTCTTCTCGCGGGGTCTGGGTGTGGGTCTCTCTCTCTTCTGCTTCCCTTTAGGGGTCTCTATGTTTCTCAGGACAGGAAGGAACCCAATTTAAGCGGAACAAGGGTTTTCACTTTCCATTCATAAGAAAATGGAGTTTGTCTCTTTGAAAAGTCTAAGCATGATGCTCCCGAGCTCCCCAAACTCGGTTCAAAGCTTTGACTCAGCCAAGGTCATAAATATTCATGAGCTGGCGGAGCTGATTGGTCCGCTGTCTTGCATAATCACCGGGGATTGGTCCGAGTCGCTCGGGCTCCGCTGGACTAGAGCCTGCAAGGCGGCCCGGCCTCTGGAGGGACTGTTCCACACTTCCCGGCCCGGGCTCCTCTGCAACAGAGCGCGCGTTGCGGGACGCACAATAGGCTGCAGAGTCCGCTCTGGGACCTCGGAGGCCCGCAGCTCTTCAGCCTCCCACCTCCCTTGCGTGCTCTCTTCCCAGAAACCAACCAGCTGCTCCCCGCTGTCGCCCGCTTCCCTACTGTCCCCACTCTTCGTCCGCCCCCAACGCGGAGAACTCAGGACCGCTTCTCGTCACTGCTACCCAGTCGGGTGCTGAGCTTAGGGCGGCTCTAGGGTTTGGTCGCAGCCTATGGATCGCGGAGTAGCGCACTGAGGGGCGACCAAGGCAGCCAACAGAACTGCAGTCTTCTTGACCGTCCTGTGCCTAGTTCAGAGCCCTCCCGGCCGCGCCTCCCTGGCCCAGGTCCGCTTTGCCACATCCCTGGGGTCGGGGTTTGAGGGCCCTCCAGACCAACTCACTCGGCCGCCTCGCCGCTGCTGCCGCCGCTGCTGCTCCCAGGGGCCAGCTCGCATCGCTCCAGGCCCAGCTGGTCAATCCAGCTCGAGGCTGCACCGGTCTGATAAAAGCAGTGCGCGTGGAGAGCCAGGAACCCGCGCTTCTCCTCCCAGGAAAAGCGGCCGCACCGCCTCCTTCCCCCAACACACACACCCTCTTTCCCTCCCAACCTTCCAGCGCCTCCCCCTCCCCTCTCCACTCCCTCTGAACGGTGCGCCCCGGGCTCACTCGCCCAGAGGGCGCGGCACTGCGTGGAGCCGAGGGGCCGATCTGCTCAGCTCTGCCCGAGCCGCGGGCGCCAGGTGGTCATTTTTTGGCTTCCCAAGGTCTGGCGAGAATACCCGGGGGTTAGGAGTCCTTGGAGGACATCGAAACCCGCGGCAGAACCAGGCCTATGTAAGGCTTGAATATCTGTGCAGTCATATCTCTCTTTGTCGCCCATTATTTTAATTCCAGTGGCCAAAACGGACATCAGTGGGCCTCGGAGCAGGGCTGGTTGAGGTAACAGTTGCCACCGGTGCCTCGGTCTTCTGGGATGTTAGATACAGAAAAGCGCACAAAAGGCCCCCGTGCCCCCACTACTACCACACAGCCACCCCACGCGGCGTGGCGCACACTATGTTGGCTGCTAGGGACTGTTGGTCCCCCATCTCGCCAGCCCTACGGTGAATCCCAAATTACTTTGTTAGATAATTAGAAAGTGTTGATAATTATTTCTTTCATAATTTAACGGTGTGACGGGAACGGGGAAATGATCTTGTGAAAGTTCACACGTGCAGATGTATTAGTTACTGATTCATTTGATTAAATGGTAGTCTCAAGTGCTCAGATCCGCAGCTGAAGGCTCCCCATTAGCATAACACTGATGTTTAATTTTCATACGCATAATTAGCCATATATTTAACACTAATAGCAACATGCAGCCTTTCAGCGTTAAACAGCCGGGGATTTGATCTGGCCTGAGCTGAACCTTCGCTACCGCACCTTCCCCTGTCTGAAGTGTGCAATGATCACAGGACAAACCTCTGTAATCAAGCACATTTTGGCAGAGGGAACACCAATAAAAATGAACGTTCAAAACAAATTACATCGGTGCTGTCGTTACAGATATTAGTAGAGAGGGGGTTTCTCTCTCTTTTTAACTTCTGTAGCAGCAGCTCCAGCCCGCGGAATTCCTCTCCATTGAATTAAGGGCACAGTGCTGGGGCAGAAATATTTCAGGCAGCGTGGTTGGAGCAAAAAAGAAAAACAAAAGCAAAAAAAAAAAAAAAAAAAAAAACAACCAATCCTCCTCCAAACCAATAACGGGTTTGCCAACGCTTAAAAGATTTTTTTTCCCTCTTAATCACCAAACCACACGGTGAGGCTTTGTAGCAACAACCAGCTAATGACTCTGCCACTAGACAACTCCTGGAGCCTCTTGGCTGTCTTGATTTCCCTGTCGCACTTGTGGTTTTAATTGCTCCTTCCTCAAGCCTTTTTTGGGGTGTTGGAGTGCCACGCTGTGCGCCCAGCACAGCCGTTCGGATGCAGCCCAAGCCCCGGTTCTCTCGCGCTGGCCTTGCAGGCCCTGCCCACGTAAGTGATCTCCATGGCTGGCGCGGGGTCGAGGTTGGGACCGGGGAAAATCAGAATGTTGTCTCCCTGAGTTCAGAGAAAGGCATGAAGAAACCCCCAAGACTCGGCCGCCTAGGGCTAGTTTATCCCAGGGAATTGAAGGAAAAGGGGAGGAGAGGGCCGCACGTTGCCAGTCTTCCTTGGTGCTGGGTCTTTACATGTCTATGAGGGGGATGGTTGAGTTCCCGGTGCAGGGGACCAGGCTGGCTCCTGAAATAAAGGTTTGGCATGCACTCCCTCGGGATAAGGTTTCAGAGCCTAGCTTAATTTAGAATTGAATTGTATATAGGCAAGGGAATGTCTATCTATACTCCAGAATTCCCACCCCAGAGAAGCAGGTTTGGGGAGAGAGGCTGAGTTACCCCCTCTACAGTGCAGCCAGCTGGGCCTTAGTTAGCTCCTCAATGTGCAATGTTATCTCTACTCTCTGAGTGGATCCCTCCCACCGCCCCACCTCTAAGGCTACACCTGTTCTAAAATGCCAGTTTGCTTAGACCTTTGTCCAAGCTCTGAGAAGAAACAAAATTCTTCTATTGATACTGAAGGTTTGGGATTCTGAGTAGAACCTATTGGAGTCACCTCAGGACCAGTCCTAATGGTATAAATCTAATCACACTTGGCTCTGGGTTAAGATTAGAGGCCAGTTCAGCTGGCAGAGGGGAGAGGAGGCATAGACAAGATACTTTTAAAACGTACTTCCTAATCTCAACTTCAAAGCATGTGAAATGGAATTCATTCTAATTCAAGTTTGTTTCCTACAGAGCTGCTGAGTAGTGGCAGATGGATACACACACACATACCTTTAAGTTAGTCATTTTAATAAACAGGATTATATACCTGTCCCATAAATACCTTCACCTCAAAATAATTGCTGCAGGAGCAGCGTGTTACCCCAGTGGTTGGTAAAATCCTGTGGTCCTAATAAAACTATCCTTAGGGAACCTCAGAGTAAACTGATCTGCAGATAAAGGTACTGTGCTAATGGCTGCAATCCGATTGCTCTAGGAGACAAGTGAAGTCATTCTCTGGCAACCCTCTCCCAAGGTCAGCTAGGCCCTGTTCCTCTCTTCAAAATCCAAATTGTTATGGGGAAACTGCCCTGATTGGTCTTCTTTCTGCCTGGCCAACTCCAGAGCATCTCAAAAGTTTATCTATGGATCTTGTAAATCCTCAACCCCTCCCTCAACTTTTCCAACTTTCAGACCCACTAGAATCAGAATCACTTCTATCCCAAACTCTACATCCCTGGAGAAATGGAGTCAGAGGGTTGGGGAGCCATGCAGCAAGTCTAGAGTTCAGGAAGAGCTGAGACTCATCACTTTTAGAACGACGTATTGTCCTCAGTTTCCTGTCTCCTGTCCTACCACTCTGGGTGCCATCAAGACAAGCTAGTCCCCAGTATAGCCACCTATATCTGTGGGGGCAACTACAGGTGACCCCAACCTACATTTAGCCAATGGCAACTTTGAAAGGGCCACTTTAGTAGAAACAAGTTAGCACAATCACTGGCCATGGTGACATCCTCACTGGACTGGTTCCTAAAACCATAGGCAGAGGGGACCAGTTTCCTTTGTGGACTACTAGAGGCCCAGTCCCTCCCCTCCCTTGAGCCGAGTGTGAACAGATCTTAGAGAGGAAGGGAAGGGAAATTGCTCCCGGCAGGAATGGCCCTTGGGAAACAGCGTGGACAGGTGAGTTCCTGCTCCTGAAACGGGTTGGAGTTGCTGGCAGAAAGAAATAGCTAAAGCTGCCAGCTCCAGTCCAGGCCAACTAAGCCCTTGTCTCCAAAGTGCCCATATCTCCTCTCGCTGGGATTCTGTGCGCCTTGGGAATACTTGACCTTTGTGGCCCTTGCCGAGCTCAAGCGCGGGTCCCATCAGGGTCAATATGGGAGATATCTGTTAGGGACTAGGGGGACCGCTCACCAGCCAGATACTATTTACATCGGGGCGAGTGGGCCCGCAGCGCGAATTTCTAGTGCAACAAACGGTCTAGTGTGCTTGTGTGTGCATGAGTGGGGAGTGACAGGGTCTGAACCCAACCTCTGGGAAAGCCACGGAAGACTGGATGAGGGGGGGAAGGAACAGCCGCAGCAGACCAGGAAAGTCTTGTTTCTGGAGTGATAAAGCCCTGAAGAAGGGCCAGGCCCAGGGTCCACAGCCAAGAAAATGTTTGCAATCAATGCTTCGGAGGGCAAATCTTTTCATGGAAAGCGGCGTGAAAGGAAAATGAACCTAAGGGGCTTGGTTGGGAGCAGGTGTTGGCCTCTGGAGCGTCCTCAGGGACGGCCAACGTGAAATTCACAAGGGAAAAAAAGGATTAAAAAAATGCCACCTAACACTTAAGTTCCGGTTTTTCTTTCCGCGCGTGCAAAAAAGTTCAGAGACTCAAAAACCAATCACCTACCCTCTCTCCCCGTGGTAACTGTCAGACTCAAGGAGCTTAGACACAATGAGTTTAAGAGGTTTTTCATTGGGGCAAATTCTGGACAAGGAAAAGGGAAAACTGCTTCTAGAATCTCTCCTCTCCCAAACGACTGCGTCCGCGTTCCTCTCCAGATGCGTTTCCCGCTTGGAGAAGCTGAGCCCCAGACCCCGACCGGTCTTTCAGAAGCCGCAGGGTCCCAGGCACGTTTTCAGATTTGAGTTCCAAATGCTCCTAGTCCCCATCGCCTTTTTTCCAAAATGATATTAGGTGTTAGGCGGGATGCTGCGTGAACCTGCTGCTCCTGTTTCTTCTAAAAGTTCTCTAGCTGTATTTCAAAAATTGAGAAAAACGGAGCCCGACCTCTGCGACCTTCGGGCAGCCTCTCAGGCCTCGTGGGGCAGTTTGGTCAGGATCTTCGCGCCTCGAGGTGTGATGAGAACTGTGTGCTCGAACTGGGCGGACCTGAAACACAGAGCAGCGGTCAGGACGCAAGCCAAGCGCCCGCTCGGCCACCACGAGCAAAAGTAGCTCGCCAGCGCCGTCAGACCTCTTTCCTTCCCGAACAATTTAAAAGCAACAGGGCAGAAAGCAGACACCTTTGATTGTCTATGGAGACCACAGTCCATGCATCCTCCAGGACTTTAAATTCAGGGGATCCCTCGGTGATGATTGGCTCTGTAAGAGGTAAAATATTTACTCCAGTGACCTCATCAGATTCTTGTCAAACACTGCTTCGGCTGATTATTAAAAAAAAAAAAAAGAGAGAGAATAAGGAAATACACCCCCCCCCCTTAAGTGCTTCACCCACGAGTTCATGTTGTAATCTTGCAAGGGCTGATAATTGATGTTGCTTACATCGTATACTACAAACTGAACAGTAGGAAGAGGAAATGCTACAGCATTAAAAAATGTATTAAGTTGCCTAGTTCATAATTTTTTAGAGAAATAAGGGCATTTTTAATCAAGCCTTAATTAGGATCCCGTGGATAATAACCACCCAAACACTAGTCCCTCTTATAAATACCAGTCAGTTTTTTAAAATATTTGAATTTTAAAAACATGCTCAAAATGTTCATTAATCAGCAAATAACAATTTTCTTATTTCACTCTAATTGCTTCTCCATTAAGTCCCACAGTCAGAAATACGAGGTCTTCATGGCCCTAGGTGATTGGGATTTGGTGGTGACACCAATCACAAGACCAGCCAGGAATGGGCCGCCAGAGAGTACATGCCACTTGCTGACAGGGAGCAAGGGACATAATCGCCTGTAGTTACTGGGTGTTAATGAAAAAACAAAACAAAACAAAAAGGCAAACACCACATTATGCTGGTAACAGAATTAGAGGTTGGATGGCTGCCTTCTCCTAAATGTGTTGGTAAGTATTTGATTTAGGAAGATGGGGCTCCAGGATATTATTTAATTTGATTTACTATGCATCTGAATTATTTCATTATGCTGATTGGCTTTATTAGTCCTTCTCAGGACTAGGCCAGAAACAGTTTCCCAGTTTCCACCCAGGAGTCATGGCTCTCCAAAGAGGAGCCCCAGCATTTACCTATGGTGAAGGCCATGCCCTCCTCCATGGGAAGGTCATTGTCATTCTCTGCAAAACAGAAATGAGGATGGGTGGGTGGGTGGTGAGAATAGGAAATGAGAAAGCAGAAATAAACACAATTAGGGGAGTTGGGTCTGCTTTAAAAACTTGATAATTTTATTTCTTTTAGGGAAAAGAAAGGTGAAAGCTCATAGATTCCTGGGTGGCCCCAGAGGTAAAACACAAAGCTCCTGGGCCTCAATCTTTGCAGTTCTCTGTGCTCTGGGCAGATTCCCCCCAACCCCCAAGTATTTGCCAAGACTTGGTGGGGATGGTCTGGTTGTTTTAGACACCTGGAGGGCTCCCTCTCACCCTTCTTATGTTCCCTAGGCCACCTGCTGCTAGATCTCCTGGTCTCACTAGGTCAGGGTCTTGACCCTCACCCTTGACCCGAAGAGAAAGAAGTCTTAGTGAAGTACACAAAGGGAGGACAGCATCCTGGTGTGCAGGTTGAAGCAGGCAGAGAGGTACCTCTATCCTCAAATAAACTAATTCTAGGCATCTGCACTGGGTGGAGCACAGGGCTAACAGACCCTTCCTGCACTCTCACATGGACCTCTTCTGAGCTGTGTTAGGTGCAGCTCTTTGTCCAAAGGGGTTCTGTCCCTGTGAGTCTCCAGAGACTCTCTAGGGGTAGGTTCCAGGCCTTAGTTCCTCTAGAGACCAATTCTACCCCAAGTACAAGGTCAGGCCTCAGGATCAATTTTTCTTTGGTTCCTGTCCAAATGTGCAGCCACTTTAGGCTCCTCCAAACAGCTGCCTCATACCTTAACCCAAATCCTCCCACCACTTCAGGCCCACTGCCTTCTCACTGTAGGGAGCACACCCAGGCAGTGAAAAATAGGGGATTCTGGGGAAGGAACGCAAGGGTGGGTATAATCTAGAAATCACTAAAAGAGTACATGCTGTTAAATACATCAGCTGTCAACACTGTGTAGGATGTAATGAAGTTTAACCACAACAGTCAGCAGTTAGAAAAAGGGGTAGAAAAAGAAAAACAGAAAACAGTCCTATGTGCATGCTGCTGGGACATTGATGCAGTGGTGTTTTGTTTTCAGTAACTTTTTCTAGACAAATGTTTCTTGTGCTTTCCAGTCATGCGCCCTTCATGAGAAGACAAAAAGTAAAATAAACCTTATTTGGGGACTGAAATTGCTGGGCTCTGATCTAGTAACATAGTAATGTGCTGGTTAAAATTAAGTTATTACCTTTACATTTAACATACACATGCACACACGTGAATAATAATTTGATTCAAAGTAAGTTTTCAGGAGCAAAACTACCTTAGCCTGATTCCATTCAATAAAGAGTTCCAAATTAATTTTCTTACCATGATGCCAAATTTCTGGATGTCCATGAAAGTAAGATCCTATTCCATGTCCCACGAAATGTGGACAGACTTGCAAACCATTCTGACGAGTTATGCGGCTTTAAAAGTGACCAAAAGATATTTAACTAAAGTATATAAGTTTTAAATGCACGCTAAGATAAAAAGAAAGTCATTATAAAATATCCTGAAAAAGAAAAAAATAAGCTCTATTCAGAGTCTGATCATATATATTTTTTTTCTTTGTGGTGCTAGGGATTGAACCTGAGGCTTTAGGCATGCTAGGCAAACACTCTATCACTGAACTACATCCTCCATTCTTTAAAAATTTTAATTTTGGGCCTTGCTAAGTTGCTGAGGCTGCCCATGAGCTTTGAATCCTCCTGCCTCAGCCACTAGATTATCTGGTATTACAGGTGTGCACTACCGCCCCCAACTTACCATTTTCTTTATTCTGGAATACTTTCAATTTTGCTGATGCTTATAACAATTCCCTTGGATATATGAAGAAAGAAGGTATGTATCTAACACAGTAGTTTGACTCATGTACCTTAGTACAGTGTTCAAGGTCATTTTTAGACAAGAAATGAATATGCATACACACATAGATTGATATACATAACTAAGGTATGTGCATCTAATGCAGATCATAAAAATCTATATAGTTTTTATGGTTTTATGGGTAAACTGCTGTGCAAATTACTAATGATTTGGGAACTAAACAGAGAAGAAAATTACAATCTAGAAATATGACTTGCTACTTCTATCGTTTCCTTTATGCAGACCTATTTCAAAATATTATACATTTTACAAACAGACATGCTCACATAAAAGGCTAATTCTCTTTTGTCAATTTTCTTGAAACACTCTAAAACTTTGTGATCACTCTGGAGTTCAACTCAAGACCTACAACATTAATGAAATTCATAAAGAATGTTTTTTCACCATTATGATGCCTAAGTTAGTGTGTGATTCCTAATTCTTAATGCTTCATTATTCTACATGCAAATGTTTTTGTGTTCCACCTATCTCTTATAAATGAAATCTAGGGGTTGGGGTTGTAGCTCAGTGGTAGAGAACTTGCCTCGCATCTGTGAGGCACTGGGTTTGATCCCCAGCACCACGTAAAACCAAACAAATAATTAAATAAGTAAAATAAAGATATTAAAAAAAAAAAAAAAAGAAATCTAGCACATAATCCAACCCTAAAATCTTTACCCTCAAGTTGGAAAAGTTTTTGTTGAAATCAGGTAAATGTTTGCTCTGGGAGAATCAGACTGGTAAGAACATATACATCATGAATGATTTACATTTTCTTTCTTTTTTGTTTTGCAGTATTGGGGGTGGAATGTGCATGCTAGGCAAGGGTTCTACCATTGAGCTACCCCAGCCCTCTTTTCTTTCTCTTTTTATTCCATTAAATTTGATATTGGAGACTAAATCTAGAGGTGCTTTACCACTAAATTATGCCCCCTCCAGTCCTTTTCTTCCTGTCCCCACCCCCATTTTTAAATTTTGAGACCTTCTTGCTAAGTTGCCCAGGCTGGCCTTGAACTTGTGATCCTCCTGCCTCAGCTTCTGTAATCACTATAATTACAGGTATGTGTGACTGTGCCTGGCTATGATTTTCATTTCCATGTGGAAGAAAGGCATAATGTCCCTAACCCTACCAATAGCAATGGATTTGGATTTACAGGACCACTATTGCAGTTCCTAATAAATCCAATTTTTTAAACTATGGAACCAGAGTTTTCAACAAATTCGAGTTTTAGTTTAGCATGAATGCTTTAGCCAGCACCTTTATAGACATTATATCTGTATGCATTTTAAAGACATTTTTAACCATTCTCAGATTTCTCAGTATTTTCATTTAGACAAGGATGTCACTATAATCAGCATATGGTCAGCTTATCATTGAAATTTAATTATAATTGATAATGTAGAAATGGGTAAGCTATGCATGTGTCAAGGAGAGGAATAAGTCAACATTTTAATCTCATAAGTTGTACTTTGTTCTTGTTATTTCTGTGGGTCTTTGTACTGTGGGCAGGAGTTATAACATCTTTTCCAAGATGTTTCTATTTGTTCCACACAATTTCTGAATAGAAACTGAGGATGGAAAGTGGAAAGAGGGTAGAAGACAGATGATTAAGTAAGACATTATAATCTAGATTGAGTTAAAAAAAATAAGAATGGGTTCTACCTAAATCTCTAAATTATGTTAGTTCAGTCAACAAATCTCAGTGATTCAAAGAGCATTCAATATAAACTATTCTATTTCCTTGTCTTAAAAAAAAAGAAAGAAAGAAAGAAAAAAAGAAAGCAAGCTACCCCCGCCCCCAGAGTCCAGGTGATTGGCAGGCATCACAGCTACATCCTAAATGTGTGTTACAATGGCAATCTTCATTTTAATTTCCGATGAGAGGAAGAAAGCCCACTCTGTAAAAAACCCTCAGGGTCCCTCCCCCCATCATACCTCTCATTCCTCTTCATAAAAGAAGCTGTGCAATTACTAGGTGGATAAAGATATCTGAGTGCATTCTCCTACAACAATTTGCTCCCTGGGTCCCAGTGGAACTTCTGGTTTCAGGAGTATCATAGACTCTACGTGTCACAGATGCAAAGGTTAGAGGATTTCACAGCCGGGTGAAGAGAGGAAAAGAACAGGACACATTTCTCTCAATTCCTTGGTTGAGCCCACCTCAAAGCTTGATCCCAGGAGCTGAAAACACACTTCTGTCTGCTTTTCAGGGTATTTTCCTTTTGGACTGTGTAGTTTTTTAACATACAATTACAGGGACTAAATGGGACAAAATCTCATTAATGTTCCTAATTACTATTTTAAAATATTCCCCTTCTACTATTTTGGGATATATGGTGAGCACAAGATTAGTTATCTGACTGTAGGGTTTAAATCTGATTTCACAGAGACAACACAAGTGACTCTGATCCTCTAACATAAAAGCAAGGGCTGGTCACCTTAACTGTGGCACAGGAAGGTACAGCCTGCAGTTACCTCTTGACTGTTATGTTGGGGAAAATAAAAATAGTGTATCAGGCAGGAGTGTCCAAGAAGTGCTGCAGTTGCTCCTCAACACCTGCCCCAGTGGGGCCACGACCTGTTTCTGAGTATAGGGTTTTCTTTTTCTGAACATTTCACCCATGAAATCTTCCTTCTCCTTGTTTAAATCTACTGATAAGAACTCTCCTGATATTAACTCTTCTGTTCTGATTTCCTCTAACTAAATATCCTTTATGATAGTATTACACCTACGCACGAGCCCAGCACATTTATGATTTGAAGGTTTTCTTATGGAATACTAGGGGAGAGAGTAAAGGAAGAAGGTGGGTAAAGGTAGTTGATGAACTCACTTTTCAATTATACTGTGTTATTACAGTTCATGTTTCGGCTACAGTTTATAGGTGAAAGAGAGAAATTTCTTTTAAGGAATTTCATCTTGTGACCATTTTATTCAGTTAAATTCCTTTTCATGAGTAGCTGGACTCAATTGTAGCATTGTCTAGATAAGTAAAATTTCTTAATGCATTTCAACTACTTTGTATGAGTAAAAATACATTCCCCAAGAGGGCAGAGGAGTACTATGTTTAAGTACATGCTCTGACAAAGAAATAAAAATGCACGTGGAAATAGTTTTATTACCATTTTTACATGAATCCTATAAGCAACAGTAACCTCCAAAGGGGTCACACATCTCTAATAAAGAATCACAAATGGCACCTGATTTGTTCAGTTAGGTAATTTTACTTTAGTCTTTCTAGATTTTAATCTAAATAGTAGTCTTTGAATGAAGGAATGTACAAATTCAGGGATCCCCTATAATGACAGGAATGTTTAAGTATAATTAGTAATATTTTTGAAAGCCAACAACTGTTTTCCAAAAGAGTGGTACATTTTTTTTTGTTTCAAACTGGATCACAAATTACTGTGTTTTTCTTACAATAGTGCTGAACTTTTATTTGAGGTTTTCTGTTTCTGAAAAGCAGACATGATGGATTGAAATAAAAGATAATTTATTGCAATGCTTACTTTCATGTGTAGAGAGAAGCAGTGTAATTGTAATTTACAGTAGCTGTCAAGAAAAATCCATCACAGATGACATTAAAATGACTTATTTTGCCTGAGCCACTTATTGTTTGTGCATAATCTAATAGAAAGAGATTATTTTTAAAAAATCTGCTTTATATTGTTCTAGATTAATATCAAAACATATACTTATGAATTAAACATTGAAAGCCATTTATTGATACTTTCATCATGACATTTACAACTATAAACCTGAATTATTTTTGGTTGACCTATCATATATTTGTGATGCATGAATCTATACATTTATAATATTCTCACATAGATAATATAATCTAGAGACAATTAACAAAAATACAGATCTAGGAATGTTTTAAAGCACATGGAACACTGTGGCCTAAAGATCACTAGGCATCCCTCCAAAGCAAAAGGGCACACAGGGAGTCTTTTTGTGAAATCATTTTGACTGATACTTCTTCACAGACATCATCCCATCCTCTAGGTCTCAGAGGAAAATTCAAAAATATTCCTTAGAGATCTGGTGGTTTGGAGTAACAAAATACTGACAAGCTGCTTGAATGTTCTTTTCAGAGGGTAGCAGTGAAGGGAGGCTGTGCAAAGATGGTGAATATCTTACAATAAACGAGACCAAGTTGAAAGATGTTTGTAAACCTTTGGTTTGTAAAGATTTCAAGTACTTTTGGCTCAAAGGTGGATACCATTTGTTTACTTACTCTCTTAAGATTTTGCCTGAATAAAAAAAAAAAAGGCAAAATAATAGATGTTCGGAAACACTGCATTAACACATCAGAACAAACATTTGTTACAATTGGGGCCAGTTTCCTCACCAACCGCAGACATAAACCATCTAAATAATGAAATGCATTAGGGTAAAAGTAAGAAGTTCATTGTCTGTTTTGTTTTTTATTTTTTCCCCCCACATAGTTTTGTATGTGCAGTTGTTGAGACTGATCTGGTTTTCAAAGGAGCTTGTACATGCAAATTCATACTCTGCAAAAACTGACCTTTGCATCCAGATAGCTAAAATCCAATGTCACTTTCAATTCTACTCTTCTTCTTGTTTCTTCTTCTTCTTTTTTTTTAATGTAGCTAGAATTAATGTAGTGAATATGTAATGAAATGCATTATCCTGCATGGAGATTTATCAGATTTTCCAACTGAATGCTGTGCTTTGCTAGTACTAGCTGGAGTTCACCTGCATGTTGGTGTGGCGTGTGGCTCTTTTTTGTAAAGAGTTAAGTCGTACACAAAAAAAGGGAACAAAGGTCAGCACCCAGCCACCACTTGAATGTGAGATTTTTCTTTTTATTCCCCTTGATGTATACTAGGCTCTGTGTTATTAGTCTTAATGATGGAAAATTGTAGTGTTGATACAAATCTTTTTTTCAAAGTAGTAGGCGGGAGCTCCATTTGTTAGTAAGTTTTTTTTGTGACTAAAAGCCACGGACAGTACATTTATGTAGCAGTAAAAGGCCTAGATGCTCTTTCCATAGCAGAGCTAATTATTCCTACTGTGACCTTACTGATCTAGCCTGTTCCTAGTACATCTCATCTGCACGCCTGTTCCTCTGTGTAGATGGTGTCAGAGAATATGAAAAACCCTATAATGAAACCATTTTCATGATGGAGAAAGGCTACTGGAGTTGCACTTGCTACAAAGAGGCTCAATTATATGAGTAATTGTGATAATTTTCTACATTCATAGCCTTCAATGGGGAAAAAAGAATGAGAGCCACAAAGGAAAATTACTTTAACAAGAAAGTACAGAGAGTAAAAATGGAAGAAGAGACAAAAAGGGGAAAAAATAACCAGAAAAAAAGTTTAAAAAATAGATCTGGAGGGAGGAATAGCGAGACAGGGAGAACAACAGAAATGCTCAAAAGCCCATGTGCAGCTGTGTTGCACAATTAAATTGAATTTTTTTTTCTGCAGTTGATGAATGTGACTACTGCAAATGTGCCTCTGTAGTTAGCTATCATTTGTTGTTCCGTGACAGGAAAAGGATAATTACCTCTCAGAGAGAATCAAAGGCTGACATGCCCTTTAGACACAGCCATGAATGCAGAGCTCGATAGAATGCTTGAATAAGAATCTAGTGTTCTCTGCCCCCTTCTACTGAAGAATAAATTTTGTTAAAATGCAAGAGCACCACCAGTAAATTTGTTGAACCCTAGGTGTTCAAAAATATGAGGTGCATCTATCGACTCATCCCATTTGCAAAAATAAAACTGCATTTTGAATTCATTTCTATTATATTCATGGACAGTAAGATAGTGAGATATGCATTAAATTTCTTTTCCCAGTAGGGGTCTGATTCAACATTTCCTATGAAAGAACAGAGAGACACTATCCTTTTTTCCCAGGCTAGTTAGCCTATAATTTAAAACTGTCAAAAACACAATTTTGTTCAAAGTCTTCAATAAAAGCTTCTCAGATATAACCCAAAGAGATTTTACTAAAGTTTGATTCAGACACTGTTACAATATTTTTAAAGCCATAAATGCATTTAACTGATATTTTACTGCCTTTTTTCTTAAAGTATTTGAAGGCGTATGAAGAAAAAAGGCAGCATCTTTTCAAGGTGACTAAGCCTTCCATCTTTAGACAAATGGGAAGTATTCAATGGTTCATATTAATGAGAACAGTACTTTAAAGGGTACTGATGTGATCTTCTTTAACAAAATGTGTTACTTTTAAATGAAAACACATATTCTGCATGTCTACTTCAAAAGAGCTAGGAGAAAAAAGACCCGAAAGTAGGTAACAGATTACAAAGAAAAGTCTTGAATTCAGAAAATACACATACACTCGGAAAGCAAGCATAGAATACTGTGTGGGAAATAAACAATGGTTTATAGGAAAAGTGAACCAGGCAGAAAAAGGAGATCACCCTTCTGGGTTACTTGCTAATCTACTAATTTGCTAATCAAAAGATAAGGCTTGCTTGAGCCAACAGCTTTTATCTTTGTATCATAGGAATATGTTTCACTTCATTCCTTTATTACATTTAGCTTTTCTCCTTTCTCCTTATCCAAGAGTTGGAATGCTCATCCCCTTCCTAAGCACTTTTTTCCATATTTGGTGTGATTTTGAGTACAGCAACATTATAGACCAATATGTCGAGCTAAAACATAAGATGCCATATAAATATTGTTGGCTATTCCAGTAAGTTTCTTTGCTGACCCTGGTATAATTCCCTTTTAAAAAGTCTTTTTATTTTTATTTTTTTCAACTCAGGGAGAATATTGCAGCCTGGCAGTTCACATAGTGATATCAGACTGAAATGATGGTTCTGAATCATAAAACATGTCATCAACTTTATACCCAGCCACCAATAACCTTTGTACCATTTGCCAACCCTCCCTTTACTTGTCAGTGTAAGGCTTACCTGATTGTATTTCCAATTACAGAGAAGGGGGCCCCCGCTCTGCAAGCTGCAATTGCTTCATCTCTACATCTCCTGGCAACCTCCACTAACTTTTTACCACATTCATCCACCTTGCCCACCAAAAATGTTTCAGAGGTGTCTCCATGGAAGCCATTGTAATAGACCTAAACGCAGGCAGAAATTTTAAAATATGTCCTTGTTTAAAAATCTACTCTCCTAAAATACACATATTATTCATTTATGTATTTAGTAAACTCAGGTGTTTTACACTCTCAGAATTATACTTATCTGCCTATAAAAAATAAAACAGATACACTGAAACCTTACAGAAAGTAAAAAGATGAAACAATGTAATGAATGACAAAGTCTAAAAAACATATAAATGGCTAATACATCTATTTCAGCACTATGATTAGAAACACTAGTGTAACATTTTGATTCCTCATTTTAATTCTGAGAACACAAATGTATTTTATTTGGTCACTGTATACAAAAATTAGTGGTCAAATAAAATACACTGACCTACAATTACCAGGATAGATTTAGAAAACTAAGAAGTATTTAACATAGTAAAAAGTTTCCTTAATATCATGAAGATTTATATGATCTTTATTTACCAGTTCTAGACTTGGAAGTGATATATAATGACAAGAAGAAATAAGATAAGACATATTATAATGGATGCTAGGAGAATTTAGTTCTAAGAATTGAAATGGCTCAATATGAGGATGAAATATGTTATAGAAAAAAAATCCCATGTCTAAAGTGAAGTCTTAATCAAATGTTCCAGATAGCAGAATGTCACTGAAAACACTCTACATGGATTTTTAAAAAATCAGAACAGAACAGAACAGGCTTATGAGAAAAATTACAGAAAATATAATTTTATCAGTCTTCAATGATCTTTGAACCCTACAAGATCTTTAAGTCACCAGATTTATTATTAAAAAAATCAATGATTACCAAACACTATAATAAATACAGAAGGCAGAGGAGACTGGTTGAATATTTTTTTTTTAAGAGAGAGAGAGAGAGAGAGAGAGAGAGAGAGAGAAATTCCAATATTTTATTTTTTAGTTATTGGCTGACACAACATCTCCACCTGTATGTGGTGCTGAGGATCAAACCCGGGCCGCACGATGCCAGGCAAGCGCACCACCACTTGAGCAACATCCCAGCCCGACTGGTTGAATATTGATCCTTGGAGGTAGCATGGGATTTGCTATTTTGCATAAATTTGTACTCTTTTTCACAGTTCGTTTTCTCATAAAGTTGAATGCAGAAACTGCTATTAAAGAGATATTTATCTGAATGTTCTGTTTTAATTCTGAATTTATGTTGTAAATTTGTATACTATTCTGCATCTTTAAAAATGTTCTATATTCTGTGAGGGAGGCAAGAAAGGACTTCATGAAGATCTCCACTTTGTAAGTAGGGACAAACACACAGACAAGTTGCCTTCTAATCAAGTTTTTTTCACAACTGTATCAAATTATCTTAATTACTTTGTAAAAGAATAGTGTTAAATATGTTCATTCCCATTTATTGTCCTTTACAATCTATATACACGAATATAAAATTTGCTAATGAGTAATTTTTCAAGAACATCTGTAACTGTAAATGTTTATGTAACTGTTTTTAGGTAAAAATGTATTATTCAGAAATTCTATTTGTTTTTCATATATTTACTAGTTTTCAAAATGACTACCTGAAGGATTCAAGTATAATACTTGAATGCTTTTGAGAGTTGGTAGCAACATATATAACCAGTGTTTGTATCCAAAAACTATTCTTGTTTTATACTTCATTTATTTAAGAAATATTATTGAGCAACTACTATAAGTACCACATTGTCTTTTAAAAAAATATTCAACTTTTAATAGAAAAAGAAACCTATTTTCTTGTGATGCATACTAGAAGTAAACTATAAAATATAATGAGTATTTTCTGATAAAATTATAGAATCTGGTAATGGAGTCCTTGACTTAACAAAATATTTCATCAGAGGGCTGGGGTTGTGGCCCAGTGTTAGAGCACTTGCCAGCACCTGCATGGCCCTGGGTTCAGTCCTTAGTACCACATAAAAATAAATAAATAAAATAGAGATATTATGTCCAACTAATATTTTAATAAATATTAAAAAAATTTCATTAAAATATAATTTGTTAAAATACTAATGTAGGCCTGGGGATGTAGCTTGGTGGCAGAGCACTTGCCTAGCAAGCATAAGGCCCTGGGTTCAATACCCAATACTGAAGAAAATAAAAAAGATACTAACCTATATGTTTCCTAGGTTCCTTCACATTTCTAGACACTTGAAATTTCACTTTGTTTTATGAGTTTTGTTAACTGTTGAAATAATTTAAAATTTAAAAACAAAATTACTTATTAAAAGAATCTAGAAAAGTAATAAAATATTCTCTTTGGACACATTAGAAACAGTATGGAAGAATATGCTGATTTCGTTCAAGCAGCAATAGTTCATTAGAGGGTGATCAGGTGAGATAATAACACTTTATAAAATACCTCCTACATGATTCTGAGTTGGAAAGATACCAACAGAGTATATGGAGCAAATGTTCAAGTATTCTAAGTAAAACTAAATAACATAGGAAATAGTATTGGCAATGAAAGAATCCTTGGCTATATATCCTTATACCAGCTGATATGAAGAAAAAAGGCTGAATTAACTTAACTAAAAATATGACTGAATTCAAATACTGGATGTCCATTTCTATCTCTTTCCAAATTCCACTTAAGTTTCATGGTCTGGATAAAAAAACAACTATTACTAAAAATATTTTATCATTAATAGAAACTATTCCTTGAATGTTATCCATCTCAGCTGGTTCTCATCAGATATTTAAATTGTATTTATTTATTTAAAATGTATTTATTAATCATGCACAGATTTTATGATCTACATAATCCAAAGGTATCATTACAACAATTTTTAATAAAATGAGCACAAATAATTTAAGTCTGAGAATGGTAAAAGGCTAAGAAAATTAGAAAAGGTTAAAGCTTGTACAATTTGAAGTCCCTATGTTGAGTTTAATGAGTACTTGTAGACTATTTTCATAAACTCACAAATCATAAATAAAAATCTAAAACAAAATAAAATCTGTTATTAAAAATTAACTTTTTTTTTAAGGCCATTAACCATATGGTGAAAACTTAAGAAAGTTCAGAGAGAAAACCACTGTATGCTTTGAGCTCAAGACTCTCTATACCAGAAATGGAACACAATGTTACCTTCAGGGATTTTAATAAATCTAGGGAACACTGCTAGCAAAAGAGTTGCTGTCCAAATAGACTGACACACAGGCCAATGTAGCCCCTAATGACAGAGTAAGATAATGACAGGCCCCACTCAAAATCAGCAGGAAGAGGAAGATCAATCTTGGCAGAGTGAAGGAAAAATGCTGGCTTTCTTCGTGTTAGCTCATCTCATACATATCTAGCTTCAGCAGCTGCCCAGTGCTGTGGTGCTCTGCATTAACTACACAGTGGATCAATAACAATTACACCTTCTCAAAAACATGACACATAGCAGGATTGGGTTGACATTTCACTTAGGCCAACATTGATCTCAGTGCATCTGATTCCAGCCCTAAATTCAAGTCAGGCCTGGGTTTACTTGGAATAAACACAGAGTTAAAGACAAAAAAGGAAACCAGCTGCTTGCGTCTGGGGCTAGAAGTAAACAGCACTTCCACCGGTGCAGTTCACATTTTCAATCCACTCTTCTTCCTGTTGCTACTAGCAATTCTGAAGTTGATCAAAGACTATTTTTTGTATGATTTACTCACCGTGACATCAATGTTGATAATATCTCCATCCTGAATAGGTCGACTGAAACATAAACAGAAGGAAAAAATGGTGATAGATTTCAATAAAAGGAATAAAAAGTAAATACCTAATGACTACTATCACAAACTCAGTGAATTGCAATGATAATTTGGAGTGAAAGAGACATAAATGGAATAACTACATCTGATCTATGTCTTACGTTAGTCACATCAAATTTTATAAAAAATACATAAAACAAACATATTGCCATTGTTTAAAAAATCACCTATCCTTTAAAAAGATGTACTTATTAGTTATCTCAATGTTATAAAGAACCAAAACAGTAGTTGATAACAAAAAACTTGCCTACATTGGACTTTCACCATATATATGGTAAAAATTGAGGAAAGTAAAAGAAATAGTTACTGTACAACTACTGTATATCACATACTGTTTTAACAAATATTAAATGATGGTGTTATATCCACTTTGTAGTGAAATACTTCAAAATTTTTGTTTTATCATAATCAACTTCTGAAGTTTACAGGTGGATTTCAATTGAGCCATAGTATTTTCCAACATACATTATAGATCTTATTTTCATGTTTTAGTTTCCAAAGGAACAATATGTTATCAAAAAACAAATACCTGTCAGGAATACCATGACAGAGTACGTTGTTTACAGAGGTACAAACAGATTTTGGAAAGCCTCCATAGCCTAGAGGTGAGGGATAGGCGTCATGACTGATGATTTCCTGATGAACAAGAGCATCTATCTCTTCAGTTGTCATGTCAACCTATAATATTAAATACAAAAATTGTGCAGTGACAGTTGAAGACATTTCCTGTATTTACCAACCATTCCCATAATAACAGCACTTCCATGTGAGATTGTATAGACTTACTATAATAAACATGTTATATAATATTTTAATTAATTATGACTAGTGTTACCATCTTCAATTATGCTTTTTTTTGATGATTTTTTGGGGGCAGGGGTAAATGATAGTATTATGGACTCTTAAGAAATAAAAAATTTAAACTCCAGGATCCTCTAAATCACTGTGAGTCATTAAATGACATGAGTCCTTTTTAGCCTGAAGATTTCCACAATATGTCTTTCAGCAATCCTTTTCTCTTTCTCAATAGTTAGTACCATGGCTAATGGAAACTTGAATAAATGCTCCAAAGGATTTTTGGTTTAGACAACAGGTCTGAAAAAGTAGGTCAACCCACACTTTAGTTCAGTGAAACATTACATGGGTTTTATAGCAATGGGATGGAGATTAGGGGTCATCATTTAGAAACACAGTCTGATACATTTTGTAGAGATTTGGTTGTCACTAATCCTGACTTCTTTTATGCCTAAGTAAGTAAATGTGTTTAAAACAAATTTCCCCCTTATTAGAAGGTAACCAATTGCTCCCAAACAGAAAAAACTGAAACTGAAGTTTTTGTTTTATTTTGTTTTTGTGGTGTTGGGTCTCACTTGAACCAAGGGCCTCATATATGCTAGGCAAGCACTCTACCACTGAGCTAGACTCGGCCCCTGAAATTGAGTTTAATGAGCACTGGTAGACTATTTTCATAAACTCACAAATCATAAATAAAAATCTAAAACAAAATAAAATCTGTTATTAAAAATTATCTTTCTCCAATAATTTTCTGTTATTTTATATTCACATTATGCTTAGTTATGTTGCTCTAATAAGTTTATTATACAGATGACACAGTAAGTGATTTCATCTCTGAGTCTTCCTAAATTCTTCCCTCCTTTTGGAAATGACAGGCTTTACTTTATTTCATTATCTCTATGGAGCAGGGTGTTTCAAATTATTATAAAAGAACTAAATCTTGTAGGATTTTTGTATACAATTATATGGCCATTATATCTATAGCTTTGTGTATCTGGTCTGATCTTTCATTGCAGAGCTAATGCAAGAAAATAGGAGGCAAACTACAAGGTAGAACAATTCTTCAAGCATACAGAAATAATGAAGGAAACAAAAGCACAAATTATAGGCAGGAGTAAGAGGCAAAAGTCAAAGCCGTCTGCCACTGATCAACTTGGATAGGCTGATTTAGCCCAAGGTATTTCTAGAACTCTGCTAGTAAAAATTCAATTTGGATTTTAAAATTACCTCTTCAATAAATACATAAAATAATAAGGTCCCTTTCTCCCATCCCAAGGCTTTACTAGATTTTTTGAAAGCAAATTAGATGTGTACAAAACAAAAATTAAGGTGAAAGAGAAAAAAAAAAAAGAGTGAAAGAGAAAGAAGTTGCCCTTATGGAAGTCACTCTGAGGCTTGGTAAGACACCACCTTTAAACTCTTCCCAGCCAGGAGGAGGACATGACGGGCAAGCTGACAAGCCTGATGAAGCCCTTGAATCTGATCTTCATTCTTAACTTCTATGCTGTCTCCCCAGTCGGGTACAATGCCTGTCGTCACATAGTCTGGCTTCTTTATGTGCTTGAGGAAAAAGGATTGAAAACGAAGATCAGAACCCAGCGCACGACAATGGGATCATTTTTTCGGACACAGCCTCCTGCTTCATGGAGCTCTGCCCTTCCTGCCGGAGCACCGACCTTCGAAGCCAGCACAACAGACCCTCCAGGCTGCCCCCAGTTCCTTCCCCTGCCCTTTTGAACTTAACATTGCCCGTTAGTGCTGCCACTGGATGGTCTGTTAACCTCACCATGCTTTGAGTCAAACTCGACTGAAGTAGACTTCTGGTCAAAACAAACAGTAGTTTTCTTTTCTTCCTCCTCCCAACCCTGTTGGAAGCATATCACCATTGATGAAAAATAGCACCAAGCTTCCAAGTTGCCAAATGGTTAATTAAAATTAAAAGGCACTTTCATCTTCTTAACACAAAGATCAAATTTATGCAAGGGAAGCTCCCAACACCCTCTCTCAATGAATATTTGTAAAAAGGCTGACTGTCAAGTCCAAGGAAGCCTATTATACATACACTTTTCTTACATTTGGCAACCCTACTCAGAGTTTAGAGAATAAAACAAAACAGCTTCCTTTTCTTTTTTGCCTGAGTACATAAAAAATCACCTAGAACATTTTCATCATTTATCAAGAACAAAAGGCACCCCCCAAATTTAAAAAAATTCAACCCTGATCACTCTTGTAGACACCATCCTCCACCACTTACCTAAACTCATTGGCATATTCAGGAAATAATACTATCCTCTACAGAGCTTCTTTTAGTCCAGAGGTTTTGTACAGCCCTTTTGTAAGTTATTTATAGCAATTGTACACAAGCATTGTTTAACAGAACACAGTAAGATGCCACAGAAGTTTGGGACAGGAGGGTGAGGGAGATAACACCATTCAATGGGGACATCACACAACTCTGGAAAGGATGCAATTAGGGTTCTTCTCTTTGTGAAGAGTGCCATGCTGGGTTTTAGGATCTTCTCTTATTCTCCAGTCAGAGGGGCTTTTCTGATTCAAGCAACAGCACTGCCTGGGCTGCCACAGCTGAGCCCTGAAGAAGCATCTACTCTATTCCAGTCACCCCACTAATGCCCACAGCTCACCAGGTTTACCCCCAAACAGCTTGTGATCTTGTCTGTATTCTGGCTCTGTAACCTGGCAGAGAGGATATTGGGTTGTTCTTGAAATTGATTGATATGTCTAAAAAAATCCTTTTACCTATCTGGCAATTTCTTTTTCTTTTTCCTAAGGAAAAGTAATATCAATTTTGTGACTAATACCAAATACTGGCTCTCACTATGATGGCCAGGCCTCAGCCAAGCCAGGAATGTATTCTGGGTTCTGGTGGTCTTTCTTTTCTCATGAGCTCCTGCAACAAAATGGGCCATTCACCTTCAGGAGGTAAAACATTCTTAATATGGGTTCGCTGTTAAACATTTTAAAAACTGCAAAAGGAAGAAAGCAGTGGTTTTGTGACAAATTCATATTTCTTTTAGCTACTCTTACTAAATGACCCACAGAGCTCCTTTATATTTCATTTTGAAAAATGGTCAGATTGTCTTTCCACAGAATTGCAATCTCTGAAAAAAAAAAGTCAACAATGCTCTCAAACAAGATATTTTATTTAATTTACTCTAAAGGACAATTCAAAGATAGCAGCACTAATGAAATGGAAAGTATAAGAGCAAGCTTTTAAAAAAAATCCAGTGCGTTAGTTTCATGTAATCTCTCTTGAATCATCCCAATTTTATAGTTATTTTCTTTCCTAAAAGTTTGGAAACCACATATGTATAGTTTTTATCTTCATGTTAGAAATTTAATATAGAAAATTTCAGGATAGAAATTTAAATTCTAAACAAGCTAAGCAGTTCTACACTCAAAGCTTTCTTTTTAAAAATTAATGTTCTAGAACTACAGGATGTTAAAACTTCTCACATCATAATTTTAAATCACAAACCAAGTTTTAAATTATGACTTAAATGGCCTGGAAATCAAAGGTGCAAAAAACATTTGATCACTTCTGCAGTCAATCTTTATCTTGGCTGGAAATAATAGGCAATACCGTACCTTAGGAACTGGATGCGCTGGAGAAACTGCAGCCGGCACAACTATACTGTGTGAAATATCTCTTTGTCTTCGAAAAAAGAAATTTCTTCTTTGTTGACTGCTTGACTGCTTGTGTAAGTAGATATGATTGAGTGGTGCAGAGAAAATTCTATGACAACCTATGAACAGAAATGTATTTTAAGTAAAAAAAAAAGAAAGAAAGAAAGAAAAAGAAAAAAGAAACAAAACTAACAGTGCTTGCACTTGAAGGTGTTGTGTTGTTGCCTACTAAATCATTATTCTAATCCTTTATTGCGTCAAAAAGGAAAAGCCCCAAACAGAAAGGAAAGCAATTGTATTCCAAGTTCTAGTACAAGAGTAGCACAGCATATTTATTAGCTAATACTATGTTTACATAAATGCCTGACAATGGAAAACTCTACTGTAATGGGAAACAAACATATAGAAACATGTGCTAAACACCAAGTCTGTAAAAAGAACAATTTCTACTGTGGTACCTTGTGTGACAATGTCCAGGATAACCCTAGAATTCAGGGCACTATTTTGATGGCTTTATATTCTTTAAAGCCATTTTCATTTCAAGAATCAGAGACAAATTGCCAGCTGCACTTTTGCCCTCCATAGGATTACAGTGTGTTAAGTTCATGTGCATCAAGGCATTATACTGAAATTCATTGTGATGAATGCTCAAATCAGAAAAAGACCAAATAGCAAAAATGTAGGTATAACCCTGAAAGCAAATGGACAGAGGGCCTTAAAGTAATCACAACAGGAATTTAGAAATTTCTATCAAAATTTTAAATGCACATATCTTTTGACTCAGCAATTCATCTCGCCAGACTTTATCCTGTGGATGTTACGCAATGATGGATGTGTGAAGATGTACCATCACTGAAACACTGTTTTGAGTGAAAAAAAAGGGGGGGGGGAACTACCTAAATGTTTCCAAATGGGAAACATCAATGGGAACTTGGTTAAATATTATAGCACATTTACACAATTGAAAACTCTGGGGCTGTTAAAAAGAATAAGCTAAGTCATCTCTAAGTATTGACAAGGAAAGATGTAATAATACATTGTTAGGATAAAACGTAAATGCTGAAAAGTCCATAAGAAGCCCACACAAATTTGGGAAAGCAGGGACAGTGCTGGGAATCAAACCCAGGGCTTTGATCATGCTAGGCAAATGCTCCACATCTGAGCTATGCCCCACATCCCCTATAAGAAGCTCATGAATGTAAAAAGCTGTACACTTATTTATATAAGCTTGTTCAAGCCTATAAAATTTCTGGAAATGAATATTTATCAATAGTGGTTATCTGTGGAGCATGTGATTAAGGCTAGAGGTGGGAACACATTTTGATTCATTTTATTTTCTTCTATACTATTATATATTTGAAACCATCCACTTGTATCACAATTAGTTAAAACATTTTTAGTTTAAAAATCACAAATCAACAAATCACAACTACATGGCAGGAGTTGGCAAACACAGCCTATGGGCCAAAATCTGGCCTACTTGCCCCTCTTTTTATAAAGCCAAAGACTTAAAAAAAAAATAAAAATTTAAAAAAATTACATTTATAAGTAGTTGAAGGAAATCAAAAGAGAAATACTTTGTAACACAAGAAATTACATAAAATTTCAGTTCCTATAGCTACCCTTATTCACTTATAATTGTTTATGGCTGATTCTGAGCTACAGTGATAGAGTTCAGTAGTTGTGACAAAGATATATGGCCAACAAACAAAAAATATTTACCATAAGGCCATTTATAGAAGTTTGCTGACTCCTGCTCTAGAGCATTGGTTCTCACAATGAGGTTCTCAGATGAGCAATATCAGCAACACATGGGGAAAAAATGCAAATTCCAGGCCCTCTCCTCCATCTACTGACTCAGAAGCTCTGAGGGTGAGGACAACAATCTGTGCTTTAACAAACTCTTGGGGTGATCTGCCTGTACCTCTGTGCTTGAGAACTACTGGCCTAGAGTAACATTTCAGCTGTAAAACTTAATGGAAACACTAACTGCAGGTGAGTATTGGCCCCCAAACTCAGTATCTCTCATTGATAAGGGAAAAGGCACTGATGCAAACAAACTCCAGTGGTCAGTAAGTCAGGGTCAAAAATTTCATTCAATTATGTTTTTTGTAAAGTTGAAAGTAATACTGCTGAATCAAACTGAATCAAACGTACAGGGGTATTTTGGGTACTTTTTTTTTTTTTTTTTTTGCAGTGCTGGGGACTGAACCCAGAGCCTGGCATATGCTCAGCACATGGTCTACTAGTGAGCACATGGTTTACCACTGAGCCACATTATCAGTCCCCTTGGGTTTGGGGTACCTATTTTAAACAATTCCACAACAAGATAAAAGGTCAGAAATATCATATCTTTAAGTTGTTATTGAGACAAGGTCTTTATATGTTGCCCAGGCTGGTCTTGAACTCATGGGCACAAGCTGTCCATCTTCCTCAGCCTCCCAAGTAGCTGGGACTATGGGCAAGCACTACCACATTTGACTTAAAAAAAAAAAAAGAGTTACTTGACAGTCGTGGGTACCTTATGTCCTAAACTGTTTCCCTAATGACCCCAGGATTGTCAACTGACATGTAAGTGGTGGGAAGTGTCTTAGGAAAAGAAAACAGTGGAAAAATAGAAGTCTAGACTTTTGACTTTGCTCCTCTTATTAGCTGTATGGTCCTGAAAAAAATGTCTTCTTTTGGATCTCAGGTATTAATTAATTGGAATAAGGAATATGAAAATTCCTTGTATTCTGCAGATACCCAGTAAAGACACCCTTCAAGAATGTTTAAAATGTAAAATGGAAAAGAAAACATGGGCTCCACTATAGCTTGTAATACTGAATGTCAATTAACCGTATAAGGCACTTTACATCTTAGCTTATTAATCTTCACAAGAACCTACAGATTGTGTTTATTACTCCAGTTGAAGATACAAAGATACACAGTAAGTGCTAAGGTTGAGGGAAAGCAGGTCAAGTTGCCTCCACGAATTATATTACTTCTCTCACAGGCTCAAGAATAAAGATGAGCAGGTTGCAATGCTGCATGCCTGTAATCCTAGTGACTTAGGAGGCTGAGGTAGTGGAATCGCAAGTTCAAGGCCAGTCTCAGCAACTTAGCAAGACCCTGTTTCTCTGTTTCAGAATAAAATTTTTTTTAAAAGGCTGTGATGTGCCTCAGTGGTTAAGTTCCCTAGGTTCAATTCCTGATACCAAAAAAAAAAAAAAAAAAAAGAGCAAATACACATGGAACTATTGTATTGTTACTATTATAATTTTCCAAAAGTGGTGCTGGTTTGACCTAATCTATCCATTCCTTTAAGCCAAGTTCTCTTTGTTGACGAACACAAAGTGAGGCAGTGAGGTAGTTGACAGAAGTTAGTTGGGCAGTCTGTGGATATGGAATGGAAAATTTGGAGAAACTCAGGTGGAAATCAATCCAAGATTGTATCCCCTAACTGCATTTCTAGGCAGGAGCACATACAAGACACAAAAGACAACACAAAAGAAAAACTCACAAGTGTTTCCCTTCTGCGAAAAGTATGTATTATGCTTACTGTTAACAATGACGATACTAACAAAAATAGTAATAGTGATTCATATTTAGTGATTACTTTCTTTGCTTAAGCTGAGTGCCAGGTGCTCTACATATATTACTTCTTACCAACTGTCAGGTAGGCAGGTCACTATTTTATAGATGAGGAACTAAGGCTCTCATCTCTAGTAATAATTGACCAGACCCCAGGCTAAAGCCCTCCAAGTTCAGACCCAGGGCTGTGTCTGCCATTGCAAGCTGTCTCCCAACAATGTTCAGCAGCTCTATAAGTCCTATTAGTTAGAAAGCTTAGTAGATAATGCTAATTCCAGGGGTGGGATTTTAAGGAAAGTTTTTTGGGGGGGCGGGGACCAGGGATTGAACTCAGGGGCACTTGACCACTCAGCCACATCCCCAGCCCTATTTTTTATTTTACGTAGAGACAGGGTCTCACTGAGTTGCTTAGTACCTGGCTTTTGCTGAGGCTGGCTTTGAACTTGCGATCCTCTTGCCTCAGCCTCCCAAGCCGTTGGGATTATAGGTGTGCACCACTGTGCCCGGCTAGATTTTTTTTAAATCATGAAAAATATATCATATGGAGATTAAGATTTAGAGTGAAGATATTTTTCATGAAAATTCATAGAGACGATCTAATCAGGAGGCACTGTAGTAGTGAAAAGAGCATGAACTGTGAAGACAGACAAGTCTGAGTTTTCAAAACTTCTTGAGTCCCACTTTCTTTGCTATTAAATGGGAATTAAAGTGCTCTTCCTACCATGAGGCCGATGGAGCATTACCTAAAAGAATATATATGTAAACCATTTACAAAATATAGGTGCTCCATAAATGTCCATTTATTTTCCTCTCTTCTCTGTGGGGCCTCTAAATTTATTCTTTCATTTAACAACAAATGTATCTGCTGAACTTTTGTGATGTGCCACACTCTGGAAGCAAGGAAAACAGTGGTGAATAAGGAGACTTGGTCCTTGCTCTCAAGGAGCTATGTTCTTGTAGGGGCCTTGAGGCAGACAATAAACACATCAACAATACATTAGATTATATCAGATGGTGACAGAAGTAATGAAAAACAGGGCCAGAGTGACACAGCACTGAATGGCACCTTAAGAGGTGAAGTTTTCCTCTCAATCCTGTCAGGAGTCCTGTCATTGACACTGACTGACAGAGAATTTCCTGGTGCCAAGATCTGTGCAGAGCACTTCACAGATGTTTACCCATGAAGATCTAGGGGCTTAGTAACATGAGAAAATTGCACTCAGACTCCTGGAGGTCCCAGCAGCTCTAACATGTGTGCCTTCCTTTGGCAACATTTGATTGTCATGCTACATTCCAGGTAATGGGATGATGTAGCTTCTGGTCAATTTTAGGACTCATACAATTATTTTTTTTTCAATGTGGCCAATTACACAAAGGAGACATCATCATTATGTTAAGTATTATCAAGTTTGAGTACACAGTTATCATGGGGGAATCTTTTCTGTGTTCTTAAACTTGAAGTATGAAGTACTCAGTTCTCTACTGGGAGAAGCTTTTGAGGCATTCACTTTTGGATGCCAACCAACCTATTCTACCAAATGACAGA